ACGGAGAAAACTAAAAAAATTGTAAATTTAAAATTCCCATGTTATTCTTATGGAGAATATTGTAAAATGTTGTAGTTTGCTTGTTTATGGATATCTTTTGATCAAAATTGGCAAATATATTCATTTTCTACTAAGCAATAATTATTTTTCTTAAAACACACACTTTATTAGTTTCCTTGTAGCAGCAAACCTAGGTACTCGTTAAACCTAATGTTATTTAAATAGATTGATTGAAAATCAATTCAGCCAAATGGAAATTCGCTTAGACGGCAGGTTTGCTGCGGCGGGGGTATTGTATAGCTATAATTTGTTTATTTGTTGTTGTTTTTTTCTTTTAAATGCCTCCGACGTGACGACAACGAAACATAGACAGGAGGCGTAATCGTGATAACGACCGCAGCTACAGAACAGTGGCACGTAATAGGCTTAAAGTCAGCACCTGACCCTAGACAATCTCAACTATTAGGTTACAAATGCGCCCTAACACTACCCCAAAACGACTTTTCGTTCTCAATTGGCCCTCTATAAATGACCTGTGTAGCCTGTACAGCGAGGCATTTTGAGAAGGAGAAAACCGGCCGGAATGCTTTACGTTTATTAATAACGAAGATAAACATGGTCTGAGTTACACACCGGTGATCTTTGAATTGACTCTTTAAAACTCATTGTATATATGACTGTTATTCGTTTTGAAATAATTCCTGTAATATTTTGCAATTGCTCGAATTCGAGCAACATGTACACTAGTTATCATTATTTAACTATGTCATAAATTAATTTCAACCATGTTACAGGAAAACATAATACGGTATTTATTTTTCAGCAGATGAAAGTTGTCATTAAGAAATGTGGAAGTTTGTCAAAAGGTAAGGAAACTTGTTCATTAAAAAGTTTTATATCCTCTCAGTGTTAGTTTTAAAAGCTATTCACAAGATTACAGAAAACTCTTGTCATTATATTTATTATTGAGTGACGAATTTACTGATTCTGTACAACACTTACTGGTTACAGGAATTTTTTTACAAGAAAGGCAAATAACATCCATTGCAACAAATTATCAATATGTCAGTCGTTTTTAATTCATATACCCAGTTGATTTTATTTTTGTATTTTTATTTTTAAACACCGTTAGGAATGTTGCGCCTTTTGTTAGGGAACAATCCAAGACTTAATCCTCTTATTTGATATTAATTATTTCATGACTAGAATTATTTCAAGCCTATAGCCTAATATATATTTCTTACCCCATATATCTCAATTGTCCACACAAATAAAGAATAAAGTTTATAACAGAAACTTGGTCGCTTTTATTGGCTAAGCTGTTGGTTTAAGGGAGTTTGGATTAGAAACTTTAAAAAGTTTTAATGAAAAACTTAAACTTGGCTAGCCTTTTCTACTGAAAACTTCACTTGAGTTATTCTAGTATATATGATATTTTCACTTATTAAAAATACAGAACATTAAATCATCAATCAATTTTTATGTGGCAGTGCTAAGATTGGTAACACTTTAAAGTTGTTTTGCATATAACACTCAACTTACATATGATTGACACTGCGTAAAATACTACTTATCATCGACATATCGCTAGAAGTGACAATCTAATACGAGTTTTCTTTGGTTTGTTTGCATTTACGTCGTTATTTTATAACCATCATGACAACCCATAAAGACAATGTTAAAATTTAAAATCTTTGACTTACTTTTAAATTGTATAGGCATTATTAAAATTTGAAATTGGCTACGTCCAAACCTCCCAAATATTTGACAAAACAACCTTGGTAAGTTTGACTAAAATATGTTCAGCCGTTATTGAGTTAATGTGTTAGGGTTTTTTTATGTAGTTTGATATACAAGCTACATTTACTGAATATTGTTAGCTGTTTGAGTTTGATGAATCACTCTTTATAGTATAGAAATACAATCGACAATATTTTAAATGTTGAAAATTTGTAATTTTAGTTATTTGATATCGGTTTTAAGCGAACATAATCAATGAAAGGTAAAAACATGGAACAAATTTTGATCTTTATAAAATGCACATTTAGAACATACCTCGACATAATTGTTTCAATTAGGCCTACAATGAGCGTTACTGATTATGGATTTTTTTAATATGATCCTTAGCAGTTGAGTGTAATACGTTAATGACATTTATGAGCAATGGATGAACTATATTTATACCTCATCAAATATATTGCATTTATACTGTAATGTTTACTTTAGATGATGTCAGAAAACTTTTCATTATATATTAAAATCTTAAGCGTGTGTTGATATGTGTTTGAAGCAAAGGACTAAATATCGATTGAGCCTAAATGAATTTGACATAAAATAATGTAATCTAGATAAACAAAACTGAATCTTTCTTTAAAAATGTGATCAGCTGATGAGGGTAAGAAATATATGAGTGAGTATGCTTAATCTACGGTTAACCTTAAAACGAGTTTTTGATTACTTGGACTGGGTAAACATAGAGTTTGTTTTCCGATCACCACCAAAAAGAGCCTACCTTGAGGTTTCATGCTGATTGTCAATAAGCTAGAATTTATTAAAATGCGGCATTTTATTGTACTACCAGAACTGCTGGTCCAAATGAAAACTTTAACACAAAATGAGGCAGGATAATTTCTTAGCAAAACCAACACGACACACTCTCGGAGCAGCAACCGATTGTTGCACAGCTGATCCAACATGGCGCACATCCTGTTATTATTGGACTGGCAAAATACACAGCCTTCATTATATCGATGTTGCGATTACTAAGAGCAGTAACAGTTGATGTTTACATTGCGGTTGCTCAAATGGAGCAATAGATGCTACAAACAAACAAAACACAAAACATTCAGCTGATGCGCATGTTTTAATCACTAAGCTATATTGTTACCACTTTATTCGAACACAGGACATTACAACATACACATGCTACGGTACGTTGACAATATTATAGTAATAGGGTTTTCTAGTGTAAAACCCATCACGGTTTGAATCTGCACAATATTTTTTTATAAAATTATATATTTTCCAGTTAGGTGTACGTAAACATCGAATTGTTGTCAATATAATTTCAGTAAACGTCAAATTCTTTCAATAATTTCGTTTTTTACCACTTAAAACTATAATCTCGAGTAAAAGTGTTCAAATGCAAGCTTGGTCATTTAGAATGAATTTTGAGTGATTTGGTTTTTGTTTACTTATAAATGAATCCATAGCTGGTTGCAAGGAATTCATAACAACGATCTCTAAGAGTAATTAGAGTTTTAACAAACAACCTATTAAAGCGTACAGAATAAAACATTGAAATGGGGCTATAGCCATTTATTACAAATTAATTATTACAAATGGCTGCTATACGGATTTTATGTAATTATTTACAGTATCGAACTTGAAATCCATTCATTGTAGGTATGTCAAATAATATGGTAGACAACTGTGTTTCGTATAAACATATTTGTGAATAATTTGTATCAAGAAGTTTAATCAATTAGGAATTCTTTTAAATACGCTGGGTCTTGTTTCTTGCTAAAAATATGATGTAGGTTTTGCAACTGTACATTATTAAAGTACTGCTATGCATAAGAGGCATGTTGGATACCTCTAAGCATACCAGTACAGTTTTAAAATATCATAAGAACTATACATTGTGCAATTAGAAATTCATTTCTTGTTTACGTTTTTAATTACTGTTGTCGTATAGTTTTTGTTAGTAAATTGATATTTTAAAATTTCTACTTATTTTTTTTAAACCTTACATCCAGATGTAGGCAAAATATGTTTTGAATTGCCAAAAACTACTTCTATTCAACCAGCACACAATTAGTACAACAATGCATTACAATCCATTTTCCAATGAAGCAGTCTTATGTCCTGTTTTTTGTAAACATATGGTCGAACTATTGTTAAAAGGAACCACAACCTAAAATCTACTTAATTGCTTCCATTACGAGCTTAATATTAAATAAACAAATACTTGTACTAGAAACCCTAAAAACATAAACTATCTTAATTGTAATATAAATCTCATTACCTTTTTTCGTTTTTTACATTAAAAAACTACTTTCTTCAAAACGTTACGATTTACACCAATCACTCACAAACACGAAAAATAGCTTGGAACACGCACAAGAATGTTTGTTCCGTTAACAGATGTTTCGTCAAGGAATGTAGGAAATATTCGGCAGTTTCCGTGTCCAATCGTCTTCCTCCGGAATGGTTATTGTTGTCGTGTGGACAGAGACAGAGAGCTTTTGAGATTTTGAAAGGCAGAGATAATAATTTAATCATGAAGCTACAATATTCCAGTTCACTTGCACAATCCGTTTATTGAGTTACTTTTGTATGCGTTATGACAATTATTTTAAGTACAAAAATAGTTAAACGGAAAATTTAAAATAAGCGTTATTAAAGTTAATATTTTTTGTAATATTTTCAGGGCTATACCTCTGACATAGAATACCTTTTATCCATGTATCTACTTGTTCTAAAATGACAAGCTGAAGAGGATATGGTCATATAACAGTCTCAGTTCGTTGGGGCTTTGTAAAGTTTAAAATATATATTATGCAAAATATACAAGACTTAAGTCTTAATGTCTATTGATTATGAATATTATAGAAACGCTATAATAGTTTTTCGATGTTTTTTTTAGTCAAAAGGTGTTAAATGTCACCAAAAAATAAAATATATTTACTATTGTTTATGAAGTCACCGAATCACTAATAAAGGTTTTCCTGAGGTCTTAAATTTATTTTCAAACGCCCAAAAACAATTCCTATATAAAATGGTGTGACATTCTCAAAGTTTTAAGTTGCGTCAAAGTTTCTGTAGCCAATGAAACTGAGACAATTGTGTCAATATGACAATAATTGTTACTTTATGAGATGTATTCCACCAAATATTCGTACATATTGTGTTTAAGAATTATGTTAAAACTGTGTTGGCACATGGCACAATTTCCTCTCTTTGTTCATCTAGAGTATAAAACTTCACACTTGCGGTTTTCATCACTCATTCATCATGGTAAGTAGTGTTGTCGTTTGTAAATTGTTTTTAGTCTATTTTATTTTTTGTTTTGCGTTATATTTTTACATACTGTTTATTTCACCTATAAAACAATTTAATACAGTTTTGATTCTTAGTATTATCGGGTTTGATACGTAAGTTCTTGGTTTTATGTTTTTTTTTACAGTACATTATTTAGTAAATACACATTTAAAGAAAATATTCAACCAGGATAGTATTACAATTTATTTATACCGTGTACAAATATGGATCGTTGTTATTTTAAAAACAGTCAAGAGTAAAAACATATGTTATTTATAATAGACAACACGAATACATAATAAAATTTATTGAAGACTGGCATACAAAGAAATTGCTCATTAAGGCATATAAACTTCAAAAAATTACCTAAATATTGTAAACAGCTTTTTCATCATTAGAATTTTATATGTATTAGTTTTGACGTGAAAATATTACAAATATTTGTCAACAAATACAAATTCGATTAACCTACAGTTACACGTCATACATTGTAACTGACGCAACCTGTTGGATTAGCGATGAATGACCACCATGACTGGATGAAATAAATCTCCTCAAAATCTTTATTTTTGTAATTTTTGTTTCCTTTCTGTAATAATGTTTACGGAATGAGTGTGGGTGTATCAAACCGTGTTGGAGGACGTACTTTTCCATATTTTTACCACATATCCTTTAAGTATCTAAGATAATAATGTGTAAAATTTAAATGGAATCTTTACCATTATATAAATAATAATTCAATGTCTTGACGTTTTATAAAAAATGCATAATCGATATCTTAATTTGATTCGATGTTTGAAGTTCGTTTTTTATCAAGATAAATGGTCTTTCATGGCCTTATACTAAGCTTTTTGTTCAGTTTTGAAAATTTAGAAATCTTCATTTGTTAGAAAATTCTCAATAGAAAATGCTCAATCAATCGCTTGATTTTTTTTTTAACCAAGATATTTCTCTTTAGTGGTATACATTATCATAGGCCTACTTATGTGCAACCTTTGTTTTAGGCACAGTCTACTCTTCAATTGCTTTCGCTTGTCGTCATCTTCCTGATTTCAATGTCAGGTACGGGCCTTACATCATGGTTGGAATATAGCCTATCATGAAACTTATACATCTTAAGTTTACGAGTTGTTTTATCTTTACAAAGAGTTTATACTCGCGCAGCTGTGCAAGACATTATGTAAAACCTTTATTACGTAGCGCCACACTTCTACAGATGGTCTACAATAAAACACGGGACCGCTATATAGTTAATATATATATATATATAATTAATTACCGCTATAGCCCTGAGCTCACATCCTGCATGTTACCGATTAGTAAATAACTTTGTTTGCTCTCTAAATCCGATTATCTGAAATCTTCTAAATTTATTTTCTTAAAATTTGTTTACAAATGTTCAAAGCTAATACCGTTTTACTCAATACTGTACCATAAATATGACCATCTCGTAAAATATAGTACAGATTCTGTTGGAATTTGTTATGATAAGTGGTAAAGTTTTTATAAGTTATACTATTAAATAAGTTTCATAGTTTTTTATTTACTAAACTTATGCCTAAAATGTACTAACTAACTTTGCATTAGTCTTCGACTATTATCTGTGCCATGATTGACCAATGACATGAGCTTAGGTGGACGCGTTGTTATAAACCCTAAATTTTAACCACAGTAGGCTGCACCTACCCTAAAACAGGCAATTCTTACTTAAAAGCAAAAGATCATAAGCTTTGCTGAAACTTGTTTAGAAATTTGATTTTGAGTCACTGACTATAGCGAATCGAGTTGAGTCAAAATGATCTTTATCAAGAAAATATCATAGAAAAAAACTCTTTCCCTACTAGAATAATCTTAACGTGTATTTGTGTTTACCCACTATAAAAAATGGACTCATTGACTCATACAACTAATTGCACAAGTACTTAAAACATTACTTCCTTTTTTCAATTTTTAGTAAAGCTGTTAATATATTTTATTGAGTGTAATATCCGTCTAAAGAGATTAAGTATAAGAAATATAATTTTCTTCTGTGAAGAATTAGCGGCCTTCTGATTCAAAATTAGACCCACCTGACCTTGATCTCTTGACTTTAAATAAATGGATAAAACAACTAGCTTAGCTTAGACAGTAAAAATGCTATCATCTCATTTTTCAAAAGTCATACTTCAACCATCTCTGTCTTCAAATAGGCCTACGCATCCAGTTTGGTTGCGTTTTAATTAGTACTATTAGTTGCTACTACTGAAAAATAAACGTGAATACATTAATAGAGTTGCCAACGAATTCAAGTGAATTGACAGTTTATAAGACTTTCACATTTGAATCTGTTTAGTTTCTATTCCCGGGGTACGTTTCAGGGTTGATGACGGTCGAAGCAGGTGATTTCACCCACAGTCCTCCCTTTTGTTGTGTAATAGACAACCCATCTGGGAAATGCCTGCAGATGGTGAGTATTTGGACATAGACAGATAGAATAAATAGAACAAATATAGACCGACAGCAGTGCTGTGGTTAGCTAGGAGTTACTTGTAGTAATCGCTGCAGCGTCTGCTGAGTGCATACGGATCCTCCTGCAGCTGTGTGCGTCGTAACTGCACGACACTCCTAGCGGTGGACGCCTGAACATATGCTAACCACAGCACTGCTTTCGGTCTATATTTATTCTATTTGTCTATTATAGCATAGGTCTATAGCATTTTTGTCTGTATAGCATAGGTAAAAAAGGAAAGAGATTTTCCTATGTTTTGACTTATTTCTCTTGTATTAGTAATCTGATCCTACAAAGTAAAAGAGAACATGACCCGCAAGATTTTATTTTTATTTTCATCTCTCTGAGGGTTTATGTCATTGTGTTTTCAATTTAAGTGATTTCAGTTTAAGCAATATATGTATATATTTTGTTAATCAAGCAGTAAACTTAATTTTAATAAAATGTGTTGGTGTGGAGACATTACGCCAAAACAGCATTCAAGAGCTGATCTATTAAACGTAATCGTAGCTTTAAAGATACACTAGTGGAACCCCGTCGAAATCGACGATTAATCTTGAGGTTTTATGTAAATTCAGCTAACTGCGTTGGATAGAGTGAAGTCATTAAAATCTTAGTTATATGAAGGGAGGATAAGCAATAATAAGTATGACGATTGTGTTCCCTAAAAACGTGATTGATGAATTCATTTAACACAATATTTCCTAACTTTCTTTTTATCGGCTTTAGGTTGCCCAAAAGGTTTTTAGGAGTTTTATAATTGTTTGTTCATGAGTTTGTTTCATACCAAAGCCACTTTCACTATATGGGAGAATGAGTTCATATAATTAGTCTATCATGTTACGGAAAGAGGCAATATTTATTACTAACCACTAATTTCATCTGCTTTAGGAAAATCGTTCAGATTGTATCCGGATTTATAAATAAATCTTCATCTTTTTTTTATATCTGATTCTCCAGAAAGCAGTAACATTCTTACTTCGATCTCAGCAGTTTTAAATCCTTCTCTTGCCACATCGACCCATGTATTTAATCATCCTGTTCTTACTTGATAATTCAATAACTTATGGGGTAGTTTTGCCTTGGCCATATAGATCACATAAAGCTGTGCATGTATTTCGTGGATTGGAATGAACCATAATTGTAGGAAATTTTATCACAAATCTTGAACATTTGCGAAACCAAATCCATAACCTAGTCCAGCATTGGTAACAAATTATGCAAATGCGATGAGATGTGATGACACTGTTGTGTTTCCGAATGTTTTGTATGTAGTGAGGTTTAGATGCGTTGTTCAACCTAGCTACATGTGTACATTAAAGTAAAAACTGTGTACACATTTTTTTTAAATACCTGAATTGACATTAGTTCACCTACTTTACCAAAACCATAGACTCCGTAGTTAGTCTATTCCAAAACTTGAACACAGCTCTCATCCTCAACGTACACATCTATGACACAATTTTCAACCCGATTATCAAAAACTGTTATACCAATAAATGAATCTCAGGTGTTCTTTCTTGAATTTAAAAATAAATGGTGATTGAAAGACGGAAAAAAAGGCAAGTGCCAACCTTACAATATGTATAAGCTAACCCGATAAGGAAAAGTTATGTGTTCCTTTGAAATTGATAAGTCATCACACTTATTTCATAATTTAAAATTTTCTAAGAGCAATAAAGCATAGATTTTTGAACAAAACATTTCAAACGTATCATAAATTCATCATTTTGTTGAAACTATAAAAACGTGCCATGCAGTGGAGAATCCATTTAAAATCATAAATAATAATGTAAACATTTAATTTTGACAGTTTCAGTAGACCTTTGAATACAATTTTAATATTAACAGCTGGTTCATTAAAAGTAGTGTAAAATTATCCATATGGTCGAAATGTAAACAAAATTGCAGAGTGAACTTAAAAGGCCTCTGGGGCAGAGTCCCAAGGAAATTTACATCGTTTCTCTTTTGAGGGCTCACCTACAGACCAATACCTTTCTTTAGACACCCCTACCAAGTTTCTACGCCCAGCCGTTCTCCCAAATTAGCTGTGACAAAAACCCTGTTTTCCTCCATAAGAATAACATGGGATGGGGATTTAAAGGCCACTGGGGCAGAGCCCCGAGGGAATTCTCCATGTTTCTCTTTTGATGGCTCATCTACATACCAGGACCTTTCTTTAGACACCTCTACCGAGTTTTACGCCCAGCCGTTCTCTCAAAAAATAGCTGTCACAAAGAAAAACAGTTTCAAATTAATATATAGATATATATTTTCATGGTAGTATTTCATTATGTTTCATATTTTGATGTCAACTGTATGTGTGTGTTTTTCAGTGCAAAGGATAAAAGTGGAATTACACACATCCATGAGTTCCAGGAACAATCCATGGCATCTGAATATTCATTTTAAAATACAAAATCATATAAATTCCATGAAACTATTTTTATAATTTGAACATTTGACGTGAAATAAATAAGCAATTATATGGAATAGTCAAAAATAAAATTTTAAATGCGTAAGTATATTGTTTTAAAATATATTGGTTTCATGGAATTAAAATAATAGTTGTGAAAATTGTGTTTTCATCTGCCTATCCCTACTTGGATGTAGATTATCTTAATGTACCATTTTTTTTCTAAAGAACAGACTATAGAAAACTAGGTAGATATTAGGAATCATAACACACACAGTAAACAAAAACATTTTATTTTTAACAAATATTATTTCACTACACAGTGTACATTAATGCCGAAAGTTTATAATCGCATGTAAACATTAATAAATTATACAGAAATCTTCAATAACTTATATATATATGATGTAGTGTATATTATGGAGATGACATCTAATGTTTGAACTATAAAGATTAATGATGATTTTAAATCTGTACAATAACATCAGCTTTCCCCAAAGAAGTTAGTAAAAGAAGAAGTTAATGTTTCTAACTTCAATCGTCTGTTTGCTTTCAGTTTGTTTGCTCATTAACAATAATATAACAACTTCGTTCATAATAATTATAAATTTAAGACTTTGAAGAAAATATTTGTCCTTAATCTTTAGGCTATTCAAAGCATTTCAATAACCAATTAATTATTATAGTTTATCATTTAGTTCAGTCTATACTGGTATAGTAAAATGGGTTGATAAAAGAGCGTTATCACATATTTAAACCTTACAAAAAAAATCAATCAATCTATTATTTTGATTATTTAAAAAATATTTATTGATTTTGGAAAAAGGTACTTATTTTATCGTGGACTTCAGGGGTTTAACCGATAAAAACCTAAAACCTAATTTATAATTATTGATTTTACCATCGCTACTTACACATTCCAAGAATCGAAGTGTACTTTTCTTACTACCAACATGTTTAAATAAAAAATTGAAATAAGTTAAACAACTATAGCCATTATTAAAAAAAAAACAAGGTTTTCTGTGGTGGTATTCTTATTTATTTGCTGTATTTCAGGTGGGTAACTTTTTTTTTTAATAAATTATCGAATCTATCAGACCTTATCATTTACTATTCACAATTATGGATACATTTGTTAGTTTTTTTTGTTTTTTTTTTTAATTACTTGTATTACCGGCGCATTACAATCTAAATAACAAGTTGAAAGCACTACTAGGCACAGTTTAACCAGCAAATTACCAAATTATGAGTATATAATGGAATGGGGTGCCTTGTGGGGTTCTGTTACTGGGTGACTTACAGGTTTAGGTTAAAAAATAATACAAAAAAACTATAATACAATTAATCATCAATCAATTGTTGTAATGCTGACAAAACACCAAGAGATAGATGTGTGACATGAATCACGTGTGTGTACTCTAAGATATGGTGAAATAAATGTTTTCATTGATGATCCTAGGTCAAAGACTGCATCAAACTGATGTAAGAATAAGTAGCTTGCAGCATCTAGAACAGACACAGGGGAGTAAATTTTTAAAGGAAAAATATTCAATTCAGGTTTGTGCTTCCCTTATAAAAAAGTAATTTCTGGCCATATATGGCCATATCAAAATTCCATATATGTTTTAATGAAGCCATATATAGTTTTTGATGACCATATGTGGAAGCGTACATGGCCAGATGTGGTTGTATCCATATATGACCATATATGTAGCCTATATATGGAATCATTGGCCATATATGTATCCTATATATGAAATTATTGTCCATAAATGGCAATAAAAATCTTCCGTGTGGAATTATTGTCTATATATGATCATATATGACTCCCAGGTATGGAACTATTACTCATATATGGAATAATCATTTTCAATATATGCTCATGTATAAATGAGTTTTTGACGATAACTGGAACTATTATATGGCATTGTTGCCACATTTGGATTATGGTAAAGGTAAGAAAAGAGAATAATTTATTAAAAAATCAAATACCTTTGGGGCATCTTTCAGATTGTTTTGCCATCGGATAAAGGGGACAACTTAGCTATTTTGCTATTTTGCTTACATGCCCATAGCTTTGTGTTCCAAGAGTGTAGATGCCGCCGATGGTTAGTTTGAGAGGTCTGGACGCCATGATCTGCATGATTAGCAGTCCTCGTCTCAAACTGTGAGGTTTGTCTGTCCAGTCACAGCTGTACAGAGCCTGGCGAAGTGATTCTGACTGGAAATGCATATAAACTTATCTTACTATAACATAGCGGACATAGCATCCTACTAGGACATACCAGCCGAGACCATCTGCTTAACGTAGGGACTTTTCAGCACTGTCACAAATTGGGAACGCCTTTCAAGAGATCAAAAATGCAGATGTAGGCCGTTCAATAGACGGCAAGCGGTGGTCACATGATGAGGTTCTCTGTTGGTATGCGCAATACGGTTGAGGAAGAACGGGAAACTTGTGATCTACTTTGTAAGTCTAAAGGGTGTTGATGAGTCTATACTACAATATACGGAATTACCTGATTCGGATTTTTATTATTATGTAAAAACCGGATGCAGTACACCCTTAAAAAAACTAAACAGCAAAATTCTGAATTCAGACCGCTGAAATGTTTCAAAAGTAAAGCATCAAATTTAAACTTAGAAAATATTTTGTGACGCTTACCTCATTTTGTATAACTTGTCCAAAATAGTTGAAGATCCCTGCACACCCCATGACTGTAAAAAACTCAATACCTCTACTTAGTAGTTCGACGTTCATATCTGTGTTCTGTAAAAAAGCTAAAGTTGTGAAATTTAAAATTTATTGTAGAATATAGTCCTGAAATTCATCTTTAACTTCTTTCTTAGGCTAAATAATCAATCATAATATTCGGGGAAGATCAGTGTTGTCTGTTTTAAGTAAAAAGTTTTCCTATTTCACCTTTTTACGAATTTCGATTGTTAATGAAATATTTCCAACAAAAAACTGTGTGAAGATTATTATAAATATTTTATATTTTATCAGTTAAGAAAATATTTAGTTCTAACCAAATCAGGTAGTAAAACGACAAAATATCTTCGTTTGGCTTCAAATACTATCAGATTGGAAATATGGTGTTTTGTTAGATTAAATATTCTTTCTTATTAAGTTAAAAGTACCTGAAATTTATTTTTTGTATTCTTTACTGGTATATATTATAAAGATAGTTTTAAAATAGTCTAAATCTATTATACAGTATGTCAGCTATTTATTATGAACATTAAATTGACCTTAAATTTTACATAAGACTACAAATATCTTACAGCATTTATTTTACGAAGTCCCAATGCTATAATCACCGCTCCTATCTGAGTATAGAGGAGACTTTTTATCCGGAAAGCTTTATCAGTGACTTTTACATTTCTGAAACAATCATTAGGTTATGTAAAACACCATTTAAAATCTAGAACATGCTGACCAAAGTTATTACATTTCTATATTGCAGGTAAATGGGCGCTAAATCTATATTTTTGATGAGTTAAACGTCGAAAAATATCAAAGGAGTAAAAGTAGACAACAACAACAAAAATTATGAAACTACATAATATTTTACTTTCACGGGAATGTCAATGGCTACCCCTTCAGTTTGGATAATGCCATACTCACAACGGTTTTTTGAGTTTGCAGCATTTTAAGGCGTGATAAATATCAACTATCAATGAATTATTGATTTGTTCAAAACGGTTTTATGCATTGTTATAATCTTGCAAACAATTTATGCGTTAGGTTATATATATCTTTTTGCATATTTTCTTAAATATATTTTATATTCCCAGCGAATGGGATCACCCATATTGTATAAATTATACAGTATTTAATATTGTATCCAAATAATATGTGTCATTCTTTTTTCTAAATCCAATACGGTACTAAAACAATTAACATCACTATTGGTCATATCGTACTTGTATCCCAAGGCTTCTAATAGGGAATAGAGGGGAGGTTTTAAAAGTTCTATTTTAGAAAATATTATCGGATTTTTGTAAAACACAGATTACTATTACTATTTAACTGCATTACCAACGAATTGTAACTCCTGACCCAAGTCATCCAAATTGTGAACCGTGTTAGTCAATTTTTCCGTTTATTTGATAACTTGAGGTAATTATAAATTAATCCTAAATACTTAAATTAAAATAATCACTCCTCAAAAAATTACTATCCTCCCTTCTCATGTACAATCTTCTTACGTACGCAATCATTCCCGGTCGTTATACCACAGAAAGTGTTTGTTAACGGCTTACTTACTCTTTTTGCTTTATTTTTAAAAGTAAACACATACTATGTGTATCATTGGAAAGGATATTAACGATCTACAACTTTTGCAAAGAGTGTCATTTTAATTTTATAAGCGGTTAAGAATTTATAAACAAAATACGAAAATAAATAATAAACAACAACATTTTTCAATATTGCAGAATAAATATTATGTTTACAACAAAAGTGTAAATACAAAAAAACCTATAAAAATATATTTCAATCAAAAAAAGAATAATCCCGATCCGTTTAATGGTATGCAAGATGTATGCATTTTTAAAACATGCCCTAGCCACCATCTTGATGACGTCACAGCTGGAAAACGTACCAGGTGTGGACTTGACACCCGAGCGAAACACACTTCCTAAGACACCTATATTGAATTGCAAAAGCTAAATTCTCTATACGCGACATGCACACAGAACCCCAGTCAGATGCTGACTTAGAGCTTTTATTTCGAACCACATTAGTAATTTGGTTTAATTTATGAGTTATAGTTCGGCCGCTTAGAAAGCGACCTCCTCCAGCATTGGTTTAGCATTAGCGCGCAGGTCGTTTTCTAAGCGGCCGAACTATAGCTTACTAACAAATAACTGTCAACCCATGGTTAACAAATTGAAGAAACAACTTACTCTATTATCTTTTTATGCTGTTCTACTACGTTCATCAGGAACATCTTGACATCATTTTCTATTCTTTCCTGTCTAAGAGTTTCTTCTAGGGTGGCATTCTTAAAAAGAGAAAGGCCAACTTTTCCAGCAAAACTCATTATCTCATGGCGAATCTCCACTTTCCCGTGTGGATCAGGCTTGCTAGCGTCGTTAGATTCTTTTAGACCAGAATTCTCTATAAAGCTGTTGATTTCGTTCA